GGCGGGAATCGGAGGATTCCAAGGAATTCTTCACGAAGGCCCCCTTGTCGCGGGGATAAACTTGCATGCTGTCATGTTATGAAGTTGTGAGCTATGCTGGTAATGGCAAATGCTTCCCGTACAGCTTCTCATGCAAAACACATCTCAGTTGAAAGGTCAGACAAAGTGTGTCCACATGCAGGATGGGCTCGTTAGCCTACGTAATCATCCTAGGAGAACGACTCCAACTTCAAATGAAGTCATTTGAAGTTTGGCAGATGGAGCTTGTTTAACAAGGTAAGGTTATCCATCTCGGAGGGTACTCTAATTAAACTACATCCTGAGGACTTTCCTGCTACCATCTAAGTTGCTAGGCCTTGGTAGATGAACCTTAGGAGTAAAGGCTGGGACCAGTTCCGCGCACTATGCTTCACCTAAAAAATCCATTGTGCAGGATGGAAGGATACATCCACTTTTTAAAGTCCTGTAGCGACAAGCAAGGGACAAAAAGTCAGATAATAGGATGCATTCGAGCGACCAATGTCTTGAACCGCCTCCATGCAGGGTTGGGTCTGCATGTAGGCGGTTCAAGACATTGGTTGCTTGAAATTGACCTCAGAGATGACAGTCTTGATGGGCAGCATCTTGAAAGACCAAGCATCTTTTTTCTAAGGAATGCACTGCTTACTCCATACGAAGAAGACTTTAGAAAAAGCGGTCTAATCAAAGCTCATCTTCATTTCCATCCGGTTGATTAACCGCAGTCAGTAGGCTTCTTCTGACGTGGTCGATACAATGGCATACATCTACCTCCAAAGGCGTGCAACAAATTGACCTTCGCATACTGGAATATCAGAACCGTGCTTAATAATGCGAACAGTGAACGACGTCTTGAATATCTTTCTGCTCAAATTGCTGATGAACTATCACAACTCAACATCGACATTGTTGCCTCTCAGTGGAGTTCGTCTTTATGAGGACAGTATTCTTAATGAACATGGAACTAGTTACATATTCTACTGGTAAGGTCATCTTTCAGGAGTTGACTTAACGGTTAAAAACCCCATCACCCCAAATTTGAAAAATTTTCCAACGGGTCATATACCAAATCGTATTATCTCCATACACCTCCCATTACACAATAAGCAATATGTTATTCCCTCCAATACATATGCTCTGATTCAGCAGTCTGACCCTACGGTAAAAGACAAATTCTGTACCAATCCACGCCGTCTCATTCAAAAGATTCGATAGACGATAAGGTCCTAGGTCATCTTTAAAGCCAGTATCTAAAGTTTAGAAAGGAATAGTACTAAGCAAGCATGGTGTTTGAAATTATATAACGACAAGGATGGGTTCTACTAGCGCCAGAAAAGCTTGAAAACAACCCGGATGCATCCGTGATTCAAGCATTGACATCTTATTGACTATGATTTAGTAGGCCAGAGAAACGTTGGCAACGTTTGTTATACTCTTGCGATGTCTGGTGCAAAAGATCAAACAAGCTACCGCCTTCGCGATGCAAACTTAACCTCCAAACCTAAGAAGGAGGCCTGAAATTAACAATCTTCAAACAGCTGTAATGAGAGGCAACTCTCAGGTACACCTTAAAACTAGATTTAGAGATCAGCCACGGATCTCTCTCCTGAAGCTTTTGGCAACATATTAAAAACAGCATTCTGCAGTCTTCCAGGAATCCTCAGGATTTTCCTCCATGAAAAACAAAGAGTGGTTTGACGAAAACAATCCAACGATCCAAGAATTGTTGTCAAAAAAGAGAACTAACTGCTCACCAAACACAATCTCGCTCAACCATCTTGTCATGTATTTTTGCTTTGCATGTGATAAGCTCCAACACAAACTTCGAAACATCAAAAACAATTGGTGGATCAATTTAGTAGAAAAGTTTCAACTGTGTGCAGATCCAAGTGACCAGAGAGGATTCTTCCAGACTCTGAATGTTGGATATGGATCCATACACCACGCCCAAAACTCCCTATTCAGTGCAAATAGTCAAATAGAGAAATGATGCAGATGGTCTTTGCATAGATAAAATCTCCATCCTGAATCGATGTTTTGAACATTTTCAAACTTTCTTCAGTGTCAACCGTTCAGCAATTCAATGCTCCAAGACTCATCAATTCAATACATTAAACAACTACCAGTGAAAATTGAATTGGCTGTAGTCCTTAGTATGGAAAGAGACGCTCAAAGGCTATACAAGAGATGAAAACTGGCAAAGCAACTGGAGTTGATAGAATCTACCTGAGGTTTGGAAGCATGAAGGTCAAACAATCCATGCTAAATTTTACGAACTCATTGTGTGTTCCTGGGAAGACGATGAACTACCACCAGATCTCCGTGATGGAATTATCAACAACCTGCGCAGTAAAGAAAGGAGAGAAATCAGGCAGCTCAAATCACCGACGTATCACTTTGCTGGGAAATTTTTGCAAAAATTCGTCTGGATCGATTAGCATGGATCAATTAGTACCCACTATTTTAGAAGAACTTCTACTTCAAGCTACATGATATTTGTACTCAGATAATTGCAGGAGAACTTTAAGGAATAGACAAAGCCTCTAATACTACTGTTAGCAAAACACAAATCTGAGGCTGATCCTGGAACGACTAGGATGTCTCTTCAAGTTCCTCAAAATGATCATCTTATTACGCGGAAATCAACATGGCTAAGTCAGATCTGCCGATACACCTTCTAAATTCCTCCCAGTAATCAACGGTATGAAACAAGATTACGTTTTCTAACCAATACTATTCACAACCATTAGCATGATCCTCGCAAAGAGTTATGGTGGACCTCAATCGTACAGATGGGAGCTTGCTCAACCTAAGACGACTACTGAACACCATGACCCTAGATCCCGATGTCCGAGAGCTGCTTTTTGCCGACGGTTTCACACTTGCTGTTCACATAGAAGCAACTCTACGACACTTAAAATCTTGTTTCATGGAGGGTACAGAACTTTTTGGACTGGAAGTCTTCTTGAAGAAAACAGAAGTCCTCTATTAGTTCGTACCATAGGAAGACTAGCTATATTCCCCACATAACACCGGCAAATGGCGAATTAGAGCTGAAGTCAGTCTAGCAGTTTAGCTATCAGGGTAACTTTATTTCCCGGACGTCAAGATCGACAAAGAGATAAACAACAGGTTAGTAAAGGTATACAGAGTTTTCGGAAAACTCCATAAAGGAATCTGGTGCAATAAATATCTGAAAAGAGGTCCCAAAATCAGTGTATATAAAGCTATTGTACTGTCTAATTTTTTATGTAGATCTGAATAATGGATCATCTCTCATCACCACCTGCGACTTCCCGAATGCTTCCACCACCGTTATTCCACTGGTTTGACTATGTGGTTAATGTGGCTGTTCTTGAACAGACAAGGGTCACCAGTATTGAGACTATGCTATTGAGGAAATAGTTGCGCTAAGCTGAGACAGATCTTCAGGATGCAGGAGAAACGCTTCCTTAAAGATATGCTCTATGGTAAACTAAACACCATTCCGCAAGAGAACTGCCCCAAAAAGGAGATACAAGAATTAAGAATATGGACACAACCTTGGCTACATAAGTTATCATCCACTATGTAATCCATTCTGGCTTCGAATCGGAAAATATGGAGACACATTATCTTATAGAGTTGGGAATACGTACAGAATCAGTTTCGAGGACAAAAGACAACTACGGAAAAACTTTTCCTAACCAATATAGCCTGTCGGCAAAGTTGAAAAGATTTAATTAGTTGTATATGGGATGTTAAAAATATAAAAAGCGGGAAATAGTTTCAAAGGAGAAAAGAATAATGATGTATAGAACATATGTTTCGAGTGTAATCCCCATTGAAAAATCATGTAAATAGAACAAGAATCTTGATGGATGAACAAAGATTATAAGAAATCAATCTCGACTAAAAGATGAGAAATCACCGATGAATTTATATGAGAAGAATTTCGAAGAAGCAATATTCAGTCAGAACAAATTCAGTTATGAATTATAAGTGATAAATTCATTAGAAATAGTAGCAATGATAGAAGAAAAGGAGAATAATAACTTAATGTAGTGAAGTAGTATAGTTGTAGGATTGTTGGTATTCCTCACTATATGTATTGTTCATTTCATCCTCATTATTGTATGAGTACGATATTGTACTTATACGATACTGTATAAGAGAAAAAATAAAATACAATAAGATTTTTTCTTTTTTCCTTTTTTTCCTATTTCCTATTTTTTCCTCAGTCGAGAAACTGAGAAAACTTCCCGTTGTGCTCTTTTACAACCAGATTTGCCTATTTTTTCATTGGCATTTTTAGCTATCAATAAGCTTGTAACAAGTATGATTATAACTCTTACTGTCGCCGATTTTCTTCAACCGTGATAAGGACTGAAGATTCTATCTGTCTCTTTAGTTGATAGTATCTCAAACTTGGGTAATTAAATCTTTATTCCTATGAGTTGGTTAATACAGAAATGAATTCAACAATTACAATATCAATTAGACAAATTCAATGAGGGATATATCAATAAGAACAAAAGGGGAGACCATAGACCAAATGAATACATCTTTCGAAAATGACCTGGCGCTCAGGACTTTCTTCTTCCTCGAATATGGCGGGTCTCTGGTGTAGTTCTGAAATCAATTTCGAGGTCAATTCTGGAGTTACTTCGGGGTCACAAGAATTATTATTATTAAAGGACATTAATACAATGAATGCACGATATTAGTTTACATTGCACAATATATCTATACAAACAAGACATTATACAAGCAGTATCAAAACAATTATTATTAATTCACTACTTCTCTTCACGATACTTAATCCATATATTCATTCGTGAAGCCTAGGATCTAAACATTTCTGGTCAATACAGATTTGCCATTTTCTACTTAAACATCATTACACAGATATTCAAAAAAAAAATAGAAAAAAGAAAAAACAAAGAGATGTTAGTAATAATTGCTGAATTTTATTTTTGCAACATTTAAAGAAATTGAAAGTAAAATAAATGATGTATGTATGTCTA